AGGCATGACACTAAAGTAGCATGCCTGGAGTTGGGTTCACGAGTACATGATTGGTGCAGATTCTTTCCTCTGTCCATTTGACAGCGGTCTATGCCCAGATGCGTAGACCTAACTGCTGCTGCTTTAAACTGCAGGCCGTCAAGCAAATTGTGTTGGCCGAATTCGGGGTGCAGTTCCAACGCATTTGTTTTATTGGCGACTGACCTGTTTCAAAAAATCTGCCCACACTTCAAATTTCAACAAGACATATGATTTACAGTCAGGTGTCTGCCAGAGCACTGACTGCGGCTTACATCGGAGGCCATCAGCTTATTATTTTTGTAGTACTTCTTCACATCGAAATGTACTATCCTGTCCAGCTATCTGAAACGTAATCCTTCTCTGCAAATTACAGGGTAGCCCAGATGTACCAGAACCCCAATTACCACTAGAAGTTAAAAATAAATGGAACATCATTTTATTACATATTCTTCCAAAAAAAACCTTCAGGATGCATGCCTCTAGCACGAATCTTAATTGGACCTTGTTTTGTATTAATTGTAATGTGCATGATCTTTCCCTCATATTGTTCGATTTTTAATTTATTATTGCACTCTTTCAGTTGAGACACGCTCTGCACACGACGCACGTTAAATATCGAAGAAAGTATTCATGCAATGTGATACACTATTTTAGGTCACTGACAGTCTTTAAGTTATTGACGAATATCTGATTTTTGAGTGTTACCCGAAGAGAGAAATCTGGGTGACTGAGGACCTTGCGGTCCATTCCACGAAACCGCGTCGCCCCACCCGTAAACATCAAATCACCTTCGCACAGAGAAGACATAGGTAGTAGGCGCCCAATTCTGTTGCAAGTACAAGTCAGTGAAATCTGCACACCGAGACACTACGGGCCACAGCTTATCAGCTAACACTTTTTAAATATGATTCGACCGTCATTGTATTCTCAAAGAAAAACGGACCAATTGATGCTGTACTGCAAATACCAACACCACCACCACCACCACCACCACCACCACCACCACCACCACCACCGACAGTTCGACCATCGGTTTCGATGATGTCCACCGTGTGCCCCACAGTTGCAGCAGCAATGGGAGCAGGGACGGTGACTTACGGAGGGGTTTATAGTGCCGGTAGACTTGCGTAGCATCTACCTACACTCTCTCCTCCTCCCTCGCCCGAGCCTGGTGTCAAGACAGAGTCAAGAAGACCGGAGACGAGAGAGGTCGCAGGTGGATGGCTCGGACGTATCCTCACCTTGGCGTTCCATCACACTCCCTGGTCCACGCAACAAATAACCAGGATTTCAACCAACACAAGAGAGATTTGGAGGCTGGAACGGCAGAAGCCGCACCTAGGCGTGCCGCCAACGCCTGGGTCGGATCCCACACTGTGATGGGAGTGCCATAAAGGCCACATTAAAAAGGAGCCATTGCAGCCTGACTCTCAGACCGCCTCCGGTCAAGGAGGAGGTCCAAGATACCCCGTCATTTGGCAACCTTCCAAGCCACGGCTTTTAGCGCACCGTGATAGCTTCAAGTGCGTCAGACTGTTTATAGTGAGGAGAAAGTGCGCTGAGTCGTCGACCTCACTCTCCCTTCCCACTCCCACACCCCAGCCGCTGTCCGAGCCGGTCAGCAGACTGGAGTGGGGAATGGGCGCGGTGGCTGTCATGGTCGACTGACCATGACTGCGCGCGCCACGGCACGACCTGGCCCCCCATATACACAACACCAGGATTTCACACAACGGGGGTTGAACGGCGTGTCTCTCCCTTGCGTGAGAGTGCCGTGAAAGGTGCTGTTTCAGTCCGTTCCCAGCCCACCAGTCCGCCACTCCACACAACACACACACACAACGCGACGAACTGCGTGAACCGAGAGCGAGCGTCAATCAGCAACCTTCCTATCCACGACGCTTGACGTGTCGGGATAGTCTCGGACTCAAGACACCCGTGCAGCCGAAGCCGCATGGGGACCGAGTCGAGATGCGGACTTCCCACTTGCGTGGGAGGTGGCAGTTGGGTGCATGAGGTGTGTGAGTGTTGATTTCTGGTGGGGTGATGGTGGTGGTGGAGGAGGAGGTAGGGAGTGAGTGAATGTGTGGTGTGGCCGGCGGTTGTCTACCGCAGGTCGTCGTGGATGCGCATGTGGCCGAAAAGGCCCATGCGATGCCTGAAAGTGCGAGGACAGTGTGGGCAGTTGAGACGAGCTTGGTGGTTATAGGTGGGTGCTCCAGGCACTGGTTCGCCAGTCTCTGTGCGATGGATTCGCAAGTGACCGACCAGGCCGATGCGTGAGGTGAATGTGCGTGGACAGTGTGGGCATGAGAAGTCGGCGGTGTCAATGTCAGCTACAGAGAAGGCGGTGGTGGTGGTGGTGGCGCGGACGGATGGAGCGAGGCTGGGACTGGGCGTGGTGGATGTGTTGGATGTGGTGGGTGTGTCGGGAGTGCGGTCAAGGCTGCTCTCGTGGATGCGCATGTGGCCGAAATGGCCCATGCGATGCCTGAAGGTGCGAGGGCAGTGTGGGCAGTGGAGGCGAGTGCTGTGGGTGTAGGTTGATGCTTCACGCACTGGTTCACCAGTCTCTGTGCGATGGATTCGCAAGGGAACGACCAGGCCGATGTGTGAGGTGAAGGTACGGTCGCAGTGAGGGCAGGTGTAGTCCTGATCCTCATCCCTGGAGTCTGGGGAGGTGGTGGTAGTGTCGGTTGCTGTGCGCGGGACAGTCGCCTGAGTGGCCGCCGTTGGAGCTGTGGGCGAGGAGGAGGAGGAGGAGGAGGAGAAGGAGGAGGAGGAGTATGATGGAAGTGGTGGGTCAGAAGAATTGTCAGTGTTAGTTGGCGGCGGAGAGGAGAAGGAAGAGGCAGGCGGGGAGCGATGGTTGGTGCCGTTCGAGAGGCGCAGTTAATCCGAAGATGTCCAACAAGTCCGATTCGAGCCCAGAATGTCCGTTGACATCGAGGACACGTTGGAAGCGGTTGTGCGGCGGCGTTGCTTACTGGGCGAAGTTGTGATTTGCGGGCTTCACGTTTCGCTTTGGCGGCAGCGATGCGGTTGGCTTCGTAGATCGCAGCGCCTGTCTTCACTGTCCGCCTCCAGGTCGGTCGATCGAGTGCGAGCTCCTCCCAGTTGGTGGGGTTGATTTGCAGGCATTTCAGGGAGGACTTCAGGGTATCCTTGTAACGGCGAATCTGGCCTCCTTGACGGCGAGAACCCGTCGCGACGTCTCCATAGAAGAGTCGTTTGGGTAGTCGCTCGTCGTCCATGCGCACCAGGTGGCCGCTCCAGCACAGCTGCATTTGTCTCAGCATGGCGTAGATGCTGATGATTCCCGTCCGTTCGAGCACATCAGTGTCGGGAATTCGGTCCTGCCAGTTCAGCCTCAGGATGCGACGAAGACAACTGAGGTGGAAGTGGTTCAGACGACGTGCCTGATTTGCGTACACCGTCCATGTCTCCGCTCCATACAGTAGTGTCGGCAGGATGACGGCCTTGTACATCTTCAGCTTCGTGCTCAGCTGAAGACCGTGGCGATTCCAAACTGTGCTTTGGAGGCGACCGAAGGCTTGACTGGCTTTCGAGATCCTGTTGGCGACTTCGTCGTCGATCTTGGTGTTGGGGGAGAGAGTACTGCCCAGGCACTTGAAGTTCTCCACCACCTGCAGTTGGGTTCCGTTCACGCTCATTTGCGGCGACGCGTTGGGGGCTGTGGCTGAGTTGGGTGGTGATTGGTGCATCAGCACCGTCTTCTGCGTGCTAATGACCAGACCGAAATTCTCGCAGGCGGCGGAGAACAGGTCCATGCTCCGTTGCATCTCCTTTTCCGAGGTGGTGTTTAGGGCGCAGTCGTCGGCGAAGAGGAGTTCGTGAACGGTGGTTGTGGATACGCGCGATTGGAAGTGCATCCGCCGTTGATTCAGCAGGTGACCGTCCGTCCTGTAGGCGATGCGGATCCCGGGGCGTTCGTCGCGGTAGGCGTCCATCAGCATGGCAGAGAACATAAGACTGAAGAGGGTAGGCGCCAGTACGCAGCCCTGCTTCACTCCGTTAGTCACTGCGAATGCCTCTGAGACAGCTCCGTTGTCCGTGACTCGCGCCATCATACCGTCGTGCAGCTGACGCACCATCTGAGTGAATCGCTCCGGACAGCCGAATTTCTGCATGATCTTTCACAGTCCTTCACGATTCACCGTGTCGAAGACTTTCGTCAGGTCCACAAAGGTAGAGTACAGGTGGGTCCGCATCTCCTGACACTTCTCCTGAAGTTGACGGGCGGCGAAGATCATATCCGTGGTCCCACGATGACGACGAAAGCTGCATTGGCCTTCCGGTAGAAGGCCCTGTTCCAGATGGTTGTTGAGGTGGTTAAGGAGGATTCGTGCGAAGATCTTCCCGGCGATGTTCAGCCGGGAGATGCCGCGGTGATTGTCGCAGACTTGGCGATTCCATTCGCGCTTGTAGAGATGCACGATGGTTGCGTCTTTGAAATCTTGCGGGACTTCACCTTGACGCCACATCTCTTGGAAGAGCGCAGTCAGGCGATCCATCAGTTGGGGACATCCGTGCTTGTAGACCTCAGCAGCGATCGCGTCCGATCAGGGTGCTTTCCCGCTGGAGAGATGCTGCACGGCCCTGATGGTCTCCTGGAGAGATGGCGGGAGGTCGAGGTCCGCGTTGGTCTCCACTTGTGGCAAACGCTCGATGGCGGCGTCGGAGATGACGGAGGGGCGGCTGAGGACGCCTCGGAAATGCTCGGCCCATCGCTGCAGGATTTGCGTCTTCTCAGTCAGGAGAGTGTTGCCGTCGGCGCTGAGGAGAGGAGCAGTGCCCTTCGTCGGTGGACCGTAGACAGCTTCGATCGCAGAGAAGAAGTTCTTCCATTCGTTGCGGTCCGCGTAGCCTTGGATCTCCTCAGCTTTGCGAGCAGTCCAGGCGTCCTGCATCTCGCGCAGTCGTTGTTGAAGTTGGCCGCGACTGCGGTAGAAGGCAGCTTTGGTGGCATCAATGGGGTGATCTACGTAGGCTTTGTGTAGGCGGTTCTTCTCAACTAGCAGATTTCTGATGGCAGCGTCGTTGTCGTCGAACCAATCCTGGTGTTGGCGGGGAGCGCGACCGAGGACGGCGAGCGCCGTCGACTGGACCGTGTCTCGCAGTTGACACCAGCGGTTCTCTACGGAGGCGTTCTCGGCAGCGGCGGTGTCGTTAGCGGCGGCAGCGATAGGAAGGTTGTCTAGCCTTTGAGCTAGCTCATTGCTGAAATAAAGACGGTGAGCGGGCAAAGAAAACAAAGTGACATTCAGTTTACCTGGGGGTCGCTTACCTTGTGGTCTCCTGCGAGGCTGTAGGCGAATACGCATCTTCGAGATGACGAGGCGATGGTCGGTCCACCCGTCAGCGCCCGCGATCGCCTTCGTCACCAGCACGTCCCGCTGATCTCGCCTCCGGACGAGGACATAGTCCAGCAGGTGCCACTGGCGCGACCGAGGATGCCTCCAGGTGGCCTTCTCTCGCTCCGGCAGACAGAAGAAGGTGTTCGTCAGGATGAGGCGGTGTACTGCGTAGGTGCGGAGAAGCAGCAGACCATTGTCGTTTGACCCGCGGAGACCGTGGGGACCCAGCACTCCTCTCCAGGCAGTATGGTCTGTGCCGACGCGGGCGTTGAAGTCACCAAGGACAATCAACTTGTCCGCCTTCGACACAGTCGCCAAGAGGGCGTGCAGGTCCTCGTATAATTTGTCTCTGACGGCGTCGGGGTTGGTCATCGTCGGAGCGTAGGCGCTGATGATGGTGGCGAACTTGCCTCCTCGCCGGAGAGGCAGGCGGAGGCTCATAAGGCGATCGTTGATGCCCTGCGGCAAACAGGACAGTCGTCCCACGATGTCGTTCCGAATGGCGAAGGCGACACCCGCGTCCCGTCGCTCTGCCCTGGGTCGACCGCTCCAGAAGAAGGTGTAGCCGGCACCCACCTCCTCCAGTTGACCTTGTTCGGAGAAACGGGTCTCGTTGAGTGCGGCGATATCCACCTTGTAGCGCGCCAGTTCTCGTGCCACTAGCGCCATCCTCCGTTCCGGTCGATTGCTCCTCGGATTGTCTAAAAGGGAACGAAAATTCCAGGCTGACAGAGTGAGCGGGCTCACCCTGCCAGTCTGGTGACAACGAGTGGGGCGACGGGAAGGAGATGGAGAAGAAGGTGACGAGGGAGAAGAATAGGCAAAAGAATAGGCAGAGGAAGAGGAAGAAGAGGTAGGATGAGGAGAATGAGTATGGTTGTTGTTGTTGTTGCTGTTGTTATTGGTATTGATGTTGTTTCGATTTTGATTGTTTCGACCATGATAAGACGACTGCGGCCCTGGCTAGCCTGGAGACGGCGTGCTACCCAGCAATGTTTAGGCCACATTTTCTAGGCCCACCATCACCACCACCACCACCACCACCACAAACACTGACACCAGGCAAATTAAACTCCTGTTGTAATATTTCTTAGCGTTTGCAATCACACCAATAAACGCAGTTATATCGATTTAACCACCCATTCATTTTGAAGATGGCATCGTCCGATCAGATCAGCCGTTGAATTAGCGTTTGGATATTTCAGCCGACAAGGGGCGTAATTGCCGCGTAGTGAAAATCTGTGAACAGCGAGATTATTCTTCTAGGTGAGGTCAGTCTGCTACTGCTAGATTTCACTCTAGACACTTGCTGCAAGGCCCTCTTCATTGATGCTGCAATTCATTGTCCACATTCATTCATGTCATCGACACCCTTTGAAATACATGCACGACCGCCTGCAGGTAGAAAAAGCCTGCATAACTAGAACGGGGCGACGCTCAAGACGGCTATTGCGCAATTTGTCCTTTTTAATAAATATGCACCAACCACTTCTGCAAAACTAATTAAGTACTGTTATCTCGAAGTACTGCGAAGAAATTTTGATGGCAGTCGTATAACAAACCCTTGCATTAAAATTAGTTTGGACTCCGGAGGCAATTATTCCGGACGAAGATGGTCCATTTTTGTCACACGAGGAGGTCGAAGCATTTTCATCATGCTCTCACCCTGAGGAGTTCGCGTAGGTTTCGAGGACCAAGTCTACGTTTATGTACATAGTGAACATGTGCGAGATGCGGTCCATAGGGCTCATTTCAGTTTTCCTACCCCAATGTCGACGACCGATGGTGGTGGTGACAAATAAGGATATCAGTTAACCTGTCCTGGAAACCGTGTCCTTTTTATTCTTCTATCCCACTCATCCCTCGTCGGCCCAATTCGGGAAATGAAAAACAAACAAACAAACAAACAAGCGCGTTGGTCGCAAATTGAAGCCTACGGTCGGGACCCTCCGCAGTCGACAGTTCATCCACGCACACATTGTATTTGCAGACCTGACCGCCCTCAGTGCACCCCACATTATTTCGGTTTCTGTGGCAAT